CATGTATGTTTACCCGATTGCCACGTAAGCGCATTGCAATTGCTATTTAGCAAACGAATCATAGTTGCCATGTGTGTTTACCTAGTTGTCATGTGCCATGTGGATGAAAAGCAGTTCCCCCACACGCGCGTGGACTAGATGGTAGCTGTGTGGGCAGAAATTAGTTCGCCTACACAGCGCAACTGGCAACCGCGTGCTGTGGGGGCGTGTGGGCGACCTCTCCAACACCCACACACCGGCCTTGTCCTACGTAACACGTGAAAACTGTCTCGGTGTTTTAAGATTCATGCAAACTTAACTGGACGGTGATCCAAGCGTGTGGGTGAGTTACAATATTGCCACACGTGTGGGCGTTAGTGTTTTTGTTTAAAAATGCCCTAGACAAACACAATAGAATGATATACATGCTTCACACGATGGAGCGGGCTCTTCGCCTTTTTTTTAGCGAAAGGGGTCTTGACCTCTAGTTCCAATATTGTACGGTTTCTTTCTAAAGCAGAAAACAATGGACAGGTTTCATTGCCTATTGCGGTGCCAATTGGATTACGGGGTATACTTGGTCTTTTATTTTGCGGAGGGGCATACTTGGCTTGTTACAAAAAGACTAGCTAGTTTATTTGCGGAAAAACTTATGATCTATTTGTTCATCATCATGGCGGTAAAAAGAAACACAAGAAGCAATAGAAATTACATCAATGTTCATAGACTACCTTTCCCTCAAAAAAAATGTTCATAGACTACCTAACGATGATTACAACCAATGGAGCAAGCAAAAGGCACGCCGCTATCATTTCCCTTCCTTCATCAAAGTCGGGGCAAGCTTTTCGTAGTACACAATTAGAAAGTCGTCGTGTTAAGGCCTCAAAGGCTAGCGCATCAGAGCAACGACCATCAACGATGAAGAGTTGCGTAGATCGAACGAATCTAACCCGTAGACACATGAACACAGACAAACGAAGGCCAGATCCAAGCAAATCCAACGAACAGACACTAATCGAATCCCACAAGATCCACTGGGAACTCCACAAGCCCTCCGATGGTGCTAGACGCAATGCCGAGACGGGGGATAGACGAGGAGAACATTATTCATCTTCAGAGAGCCACTGCCGTCTCGCCTTTCTGAGCAGTACACAAAACCTAAAGGAACTAAAAAAAGACCTAACAATAGAGCAGGAGCCCTCCCACCGGCAAGGGCCGGAATCCAGCACGCCTCCATGGTCCTAAGGCCAAAGGAGACAAAAAAAGATCGGCGACACCGCCAGTGGGAGGCGTGGAAACCCTATATTAGAGGAGAGTTTCTTGTGGAGGAGGAAAAACGCTCTAATTCCGGAAAATAAAGAAGTGGCTAGCTACTGCGTTTATACGAACAATATATATTTTGGGTCTGTCTAGAATACGTCTAGATGTGCCCTAGTTATTTGCACATCTAAATGACTCAATCAACCATAAAACAAAAGAAAAAGAAAAAAAAAGAAAATACACACACGAATTTTACGTAAGATTAGTGAGACCGGATTTAGATGTGCAATACTTATGAATCTAGATATGTCCTAATTATTGCATATCTAAGTGACTCAATCAACCATAAAAAAGAAAAAAATATCCACCCAGATCTTCACGTAAGATCAATGAGATAGGACTTAGATGTGCACTACTTATAACACATCTAGATGTGCTTTAGCAAAACTATTTGTTTGAAAGATCAACTAGTTCGACCACATGGTTCGTCCCCTTTAACCGCCCTCAGATGCTCAATCAAATCTTTCTTCAGTTGCTCAGGAGTTGCTCGACGCCGGATTTGTTGATGCATTTGAACAAACTCGTATTATGCTCTAGAAGTTCGATAGGCTCACCCATGTTCTCAAATTCAAGAGCTGCAACAACATCCTCACCGTCGTCCTCCACAATCATGTTGTGCATGATCGCACAAAATGTCATCACCTTCAACAAGGTTTGTGGACAACTGCAAAACGGGCCTGCAGAACTCCAAATGCCCATTCAACATCTTTTCTAGCTGTTTCTTATCTTTGGGTAAAGTGAGACTTTTTCTGACCAGCTGGGTCAGAGATGGTATTGAAAAAGGTAGCCCACAGAGGATAGATACCGTCGACCAGATAGTAGCCCATGTTGTATTCATGCCCATTGACATTTATAGTGGCAAGGAGGAGCTTTCCCTTCAGTCATCCTAGTTATCGTACGTGCAACACATTGATGCCATTGTGAGACCCGGACATGCCAAATCCAAAGATCGTGTGATGTAACTCCTTCAGTAATGATGGTTGGCTTCTTAACATAGCCCTGATATTCCCATTATAGAGCTTTTGGGTAATTCTTCCATCTCCAGTGCAGATAGTCCAGAGATTCAAGCAAACCTGGCCACCCACTTCCTTCAGACATTGCAAAGATCTCTCGATGTATGTGATAGTTTGTTCTCTCAGGTACTGAGATTCAAACACCGACACCATGCTAGTAGCAAATATGACTATGGAGTTCCAGGAAGGTTTGGGTTGAGCGACCGGGGTGGTGGAGCGGAGGTGTCGGCAATAGAGAAACAGATACAGAGAAAGATGAAAAATAATGGAGGCGCAGGTCCGGGAG